ATATGGTTTTCGTTGAAGAATTTTGACAATCTAGTTTATGCCGTGAGTCACCATTGGCGTTCCACATTGATAATCGTAAAGTCCGCATAGATTATTTAGACTGTTGTGCTACGATTAGCTGTATTACCATCTTCAGGTTTTGAAAAAGTGTTTGCATGGTCGTTTGACATTAGTCGTTCATAAATGACAGCTCCATCATACTTTGTTGGCTTTGTGAGTTAGGCGGAATTGGATTTTCCATTAAGATTGAGAGCATTCGGATAGGAGAAGCCGTTGGTGATGTTTAAAGGACCGAATGAGCAGTTTGGCGAAGAAGACGTCTGGCGTAGTTTTTGACGCAATGTACGCATTCTGTGGATTTTGGTTGTGCGTTGCGGTCACGCAACACTATAGTTTGTCGTATGGTTGCCTCCGCAGTTTCCACATTTCTTCACAGTACTGTCCCTGTTTGTAGTGCAGTGAGCGGAGGTGTGCGCGTCCCCGCAGACTACACAGACAGCCCGAAGTGTGCAGTATGACCTAGTGTATCCATAATCTTGGCAATTGGTGCATTGCACTGGACCGTTGCGTTTATGTGGCTTTTCAACAGTGATTCTCCGATGAAAAAGATACTGCAGCTTGTAGATTGGGTAGACTTCGTTCTTCTTCAGCGACCTACTTTCTGGCTCGAGCGCGGCCTTGAAGAGGGGTTGTGGCTTTTTATCTTTATTTAGAATGTTAATAGGCTTTCTCCCTGATATAGATGGAGAGGGCTTGGATTTTGTTTGCGGTGCTTGCGCTGGTTGGTTTTCCTCAAGTAGGGGCCAGTAGGGAAAATCTGTTGCTACTGGATCAGCCTGACTATTCTTCGGTCTTCTGGACGCTGTCAATTTTTTTTTTGTTTTATTGCCTGCCGAATTACTCTGCGGGCTAAGCTTGCGCTTGATTTGAATGTAGCGATCCGTTTCAGTCTGCGTGGCCGTACTCGTTGTTTTTGTGCTCGCTGTAGTCGTTAACGTCGCGGTACTATGAATTGCAGTGGTTGTCGCTGTGGTTTCAGAAATTGTAGCACTATTTTTTGTTGTGCGAAATTTGTTTCCGATTTTGGAGGGGGTGTTTTACACAGCGAACTCCATGACGCGGGAGTCGGAGTGAGCAGAGCGGGTGAGCAAGACCGTGCCCTTTGGGTTTCAGCGGTCAGTAAAGCCGGGTTGCTTAAAATCGCCGATTGTTCCGCTTCGGTATCGCGGGTTGAAAAGTAAGAGTAGAAGCCGTTTCTTTGGTTCACTAAGCTTCTACGCTCGTTCTTTTGATATTTTTTCAATGAGCTTATTACGTGGAACTTATTTATTTAAACAACTATGCACTGGTTTAACACATAACAACTTTTATATAATAAATCTTGTTTTTTTCTTTAAATATAGTGTGGTTCACCATCTTTTTGCATATATTGGGTTACTCCAGATTTTGGTTTGGTTGACTGCGATTATTTTGCAGTTTTCCTGAAGCTCGGGAAAGCACGTCCGCTATGAGACAAAAACATATTTTATTGGTTTTGAATATTTTGTTTGTGGTTATTGCGGAATACCCATATATATTTTATTGCGGAAAATGTCAAAGTAAAAATTTAACTGTTATTAAAAAAAATCGAGTCTATTTTGGAATGAAAAGAAAGTATAGAGAAGGTATCGTTTATCGTAAAACACGAAACGAATAAATTTCCAAGTCTGCAGAAATATTTAAAAATAAAGGGGACACAACTGAAAGGCCCTTAAAATTTTATTTACTATAAAAACCATAAATACATATATGTATATATTTATGCTCCGATGCTCACCAAACTTTTGTTGCATACTTTTGAGCTGGGGGAAAAAAATCACAAAAACAATTTAGTACGGAAGCAGAATAAAAAGTCAATATAGTCAAAAAATTATGATAAGTCGGATTGAGCTAAATTGAGATTTGTAGGTAAGAACTGTAAGTATCAGAAGATCTGATTATTCTATTTCTTATAATCTCAAAATTATATCACGTTTGTATGGGAACTGGTATATAAGTGTCAACATCTCCTCTAAACACGGTTGATTTGGCATCTACGTAGATTAAGTTTCTGTCAAAGTTTTGCCACGCCCACTCCCGCCGCAAAAACGCAAATATCGTTGTAGTGCCAGTTCATTAATGTTTTTGGGAAATGTTTTCCCAAGCGCAAAAGAATGCAACATTTTTTTTCTAAAAATCGATACTTTTAAACTTTTAAGATTATTTAAAGTGTGGGTGGAAAGAATGAGTACCGGGTATAATATAGTCGGAAAACTCGACTATAGCCGTCCTTTTTTGTTTAAAGTCAAAAGATGGGACTTTCTATGAATTTTATTTTTGGCCAACTTATCTGAAATAGAAACGGTTGAAATAGAAACAGTATTGGGTTCATAAACTGCACAAACTTTATTGGCAGCTTGAGATTCATTTTTGCCTTTGTCGTAGTATTTTGGTAAAATTTGCCGGATTTTCTCTTTATTTTGCTCCATGTTTGCGACGTTTCCAACAAGATATAGTGAATATAGTAAATGTCTATGCGATGAGTAAAAATAGATCTATGCGCTTGACACGAAAGCTAGAAAAAATACCCCCAGAGTACAACCTTATTTAATGAACTGAACGATCGGGGGTGCCATAACTACAAACATGGAACTTTTTTTAAAACTCACATAATACCAAATTGGCCTGATACTTAAATTTCTATAAGGATCTGTCAACTTTATCCGATATTTTAAATACATATATGTTTATTTGATCCGATATACAGTCAGCGCCACAAAAAAAGCCGCACTTAAAAAAATTTGAAAATTGTGCAATCACTATGCTGGGGTTTCCCTAAATTTTATTCTTTGGACATTATTTTTTTAGGAGGGTTACCCTTGACTATTTTCGACATAATTTCGTCCTTTGAAGAGCGCTGTTGTTTAAGTCGCTTTTGGTAGAATTTTTTTTGTAAAGACACCTGTAAAGTCATGCCAAAGCAAAAGCAGTTCACTGATCGCAATAAAGACAAAATTATTTTATTGGCGGAACAAAATGTGTCAAATCGGCAAATATCGGCTGAAACACATTTCAATGAAAGCTCAGTGCGTCGCTTTTTAAAAAAATATCGTGAGACAGGTGAAGTAAAAAAGAAAGAAGGAACAGGTAAAAAAAAATGCACCACGTCACGAGAAGATCGCTTTATTATGAGGACGAGCCTGCAGGATCGTTTCAAAACTGCAGTGCAGATAAGATCTGAGGTTCAGGAACAGTTTTCAAAAGATATTTCGGAGCGAACTGTTCAACGTCGGCTTAACTCCATGGGAATGCTCGCAAGATCACCTGCAAAAAAGCCACTTTTGAATCCGCGAATGAAAAAAAATCGTCTAAACTGGGCAAAGGACAAGGAAAATTGGAATGCTTCTGATTGGTCAAGAGTGCTACTTTCAGATGAGTCCAAATTGAATCTCATTGGATCTGATGGAATTCTCAAACTGCGCCGTAGACGTCGGGAACGCTATTCTGAAAATTGCTGCATAGCCACAGTAAAGCATTCACCGTATGTTATGGTATGGGGATGCATACCCAAATATAATGCAGAAAAATACAAATAAATAATTTTAAGTGGAGTTCTGTCTAGCATTGAGTCCATAAGTGAAGAAGAACAAGAACCCATTTTTGAGGATGATTCTGCACCTTGCCATCGAGCGCGATCTGTGAGTTACTCAGTGTCCGATTGTTATGAAAACAACTTATTCAGTTAAATTTATCATTTTTCTATCTAAAGATACAAAATTTGAAGGAAGAATTGGGCATTAAGTCCTTAGATTGGCCAGGAAACAGCCTAGACCTTAATCCAATCGAGAATGTTTGGGCCTATATGGGTGCCAAAATAAGAAAGCGAAAGCCCAAAACTATGGAGGATTTAAAACAAATTATAGAAAAGGTATGGATACACGATATAACGAAGGAATATTTGTGTTCCATTTACGATTCTATTACCAATAGGGTCAAATCTGTAATAAAGGCCAAAGGCGGAATTACTAAGTATTAAGCTAAATTTAAAAAATATGTCTATTGTTAAATTGCCTATATTTAAATTTTTTTTATAGTTAGTACGGTATTCAATTGGAAATAAATAGTTTTTGTTGAATTTTTTCATTATTATAACTTTTATGAATTTTTTCCTAAAAAGTGCCAGAATAGTGAAAAGTCGTTAAAACTAGGGTGAAACCAAAAACAACAATTTTTTTAATATTAAAAACAAATTTAAACTAAAAATTGGTATGCACTTTTATTAACATACCATCAGTTAACTTATTAAAAAAAAATTTGGGCAAATTCGAAATCATATAAATGAACCACAGGCCCTGAAAGTTAAAAATTTGTAAACCTTCAAAGTGCGGCTTTTTTTGTGGCGCGGATTGTATATTTATCATAAGGAATAAAATTTAATTTAGGTGCAGGGGTGTATTGCTTTTGTGCAAATAGTGAAATACAGTGAATAAATATTTATTCTTAATCACTATCAGCAGCCGAGTCGATAGAGCCACATCCGTCGATCCGCGTATGAGCTCATGGATCTCAGAGACTATAAGAGATAGAGCTACATACATATAAGATTTTGCATGAAGCCTCGAAGGATAGCAACGCAGGTCAAGTTTATAGTTATTGTTGTTATTTTCCCTAACCCAAAAGTATTTAACAATAATATTTTGGCCGATAATCCCCATTTTTAAATGTTGCGTCACATGTGGGTGGAGAAGATGAGTATCGGGTATAATATGATCTGGAAACTCAACTATAGCCGACCTTTCTTGTTTTATCCTTGCAGAAGTTGTAAAATGTGGTCAAAAGTGTGCAACGTAGTGAAGGAGACATCAGCTAACTATATTTCATAGTTTAATTGTCGGGTATATAAACTTCGGCTCCGCCCGAATTTAGCTTTCTTTTCATGTTTTACATTTTTATATTGATATTTATTCATGATCTTCTTTTAGGCTGCTTAGGAGCTTATGAGCTTTTTATACACAGTGACTAATACAAGTGAATGATTGGAATCACAATATTTGTTAATTAAAAAGGTCAACAATTTAATGAAATGGAAAATACGGGTCGGCGACGCAACACACCAAAAGTCAATGCAGAAGATAATGCATTAGATCAAATAACAAAAGAGGTAAGAATCGTTAAACAATAGTTCACCAATTTTATTTATTCTTTTTATTTCTACTCCCTGAATGGGAATTTGAATTTTTATACCATTGCAAAAGGTATAATAATATTGATCAAAAATTTTCCACGCTGTGAAGGAGACATCTCCGACCCTATGAAGTACATATATTCTTCATCAGGATCATCGTCTAAGTTTATATAAGTATGTCTGTCTGTCTGTTTCTACGCAAACTAGTCATTCAGATTTAAAGCATTAACTTAAGGGGAGGGTAAGGTCAAATCGTGCGAAAAAGGCCATGTTTTTGTGATTTTTTTCCTGACGACACAGTTAAAATTTATTTATTCAACCAACGGTTTATTAAAGTATGACATTAGAAGAATGTTTTATCAAATGTTTACAAAAAAATTATTAAAAATATGGCAATGGTAGCAATTGTCCGGACGTGTCGCCAAAAAAAGTTGAATTGCGGTGCCCCTCATAACTCGGTGCTGGATCATTTGTAATCAAAAAATGAAAGTTCATTCGTTAAATAATAGTTCGCCCCAGGTAACGCTGTGAAGGTTTTTTGAAAATTGAAATTTTTTAATTTTTTCGAAGACTTTGAAGTGAAAAACTCAATTTTTTGGTAAAAAATCGGTTAATTTGTCATTGCAAAATGGAAATTATGAACAAAAAAAAAAAAAAAACTCAACAGCGTTACCTCGTAAAATATGTACAGAAATAGTGTTTAAAATTTCAAAAGGATCGGTGCAGTAGTTTTGAAGTTATGAGGGGCACCGACTTTGAAAACGTGAGTTGTGGGAATAACGCTTTAAAGTTTTAAACAAAACAAAATCCAGTGTAAAACGTTTGCAAGCAACTTCGTCAATTTTGCTTTAATTTGACACAAATATTCTTCAAAATTGACACAATATTCTTCAGATATTATGCATTCAATTTAAAAAATAAAAAAATATGAAAAAAAAAAAAAATGTAATACCTTATCCTCCCCTTAAAACTTTTCACAAACCCTTCTTTACTTTGCACACAGTATATAAGTCGGAACGGCCGCGATCAGTCGAATATATCCTATAGCTGCTATAAATGATTGGTCGTCAATGCCATGTCTTTAGTATTTTTGCAGTTGGGGAGTTGAGATTTTTTATGGATTCTATCTTTGGCCAATCGATCCGACCTACCCAATTTCATAAGGATAAGCCTTAGTCTATCTTAACTTTATTGTTAATCCTTGCTTCGGGTAAACCTTGTTTGCTTAAGGGGTTATATACCTTTTTTATTTTCAAAAAATCGAGAATTTTTTTATTGCTTTATCTTAAAGAACAACTCCTTGAGTTTCCCAAATTTTCATAGAGATTGGAGCTGTAGAAAAAAAGTTAGAGCGCTCCTAACCGCGCACCTTGTCGCGGCCTTGAACTGAACTTGAAACTTTAAACGCCAATATCTCGAAATGGTGTTTGTTGAAAAATGACTTTGCGGTGACATGGATTGTCGGAAAACTACTGAACCGATTTACTTCACATTTTTTTTTAAATGTTCATAATGAAAATCTTCTGTGCTTAATCGATCGACTTTTCACGCACAAATTTTTTTTTCGCCGAAATGAATTTTTTAGTGAAATTTCTAGAGACCAAAACGTTCATTTTTAGCATAAATCGTTCCCGTATGCATAAAAAACAAAAAAATTTAAAATCGATCGTTCAAGCACAAGGATTTACACTAAACTAATGAAATTTTTTTACTTTTTTGGTTTCAGTTGACCTGGGAAACTGTCACCGCAAGGCTCTAAAAAAAAAGCCTCTAAGGGAAACAGCCACCCTTTAAAAACTATTTAATATTTTTCCAGCAAATTTTACACCATCATTGTTAATAAAGTGTACTATTAAAAAATTAAAACATCCGTGTAATTAAGTAATCGCTACATACCTAAAAAAAATCCGAACTTTCCTATTTTTTTTCGACAAAGAAGGTATATAACCCCTTAAAGAAAGCGCTGCTGGAAAAGAATGAATAGTAACACTAATTAGTGTTACGTATTTGTATTCATTTATTATTCAAATATTTAAAAAAGTATAATATTGAAATATTATGTGTATAAAACCTAAGATCTTATCATCTGCATTAGCATGTTATTCCTTCGACTGTTTATATCTGATTTAGCATATTTCCCGCCTGGTCTGTTACTGCAGATTATGCGCAAGTTCGCAACGTTTGAGTGTCAAATGAATTCTACTTAGGTATCTTCGCATTGGTATTTTGACCCCTACCTGCTTATTTGTCACCTCCTGCTGCCCGATATTTGGCCAAGGTCGTTGCATCAAAAAGCATAGAATTTCTATTTTGCTAAAAAAATAAAACATTACTTATCCTTTTAAACTTTTCATTATAACCTAATATTTCGAAAAATTGACGAAAATCAAATATCTAGCTGGCTATGAAACTAATAAACTCGCTTCAGAGCACCTAAAAATGGGTCTCAATTATGTTCGTAGCCTGTACGAAACTGTCTCGAAAAAACCTTTTATATACGGTTTCATTTCGTTTTGTTTCTGGCTTAATGGCCAACCTATTTGCTCTGGAAATGTGTAGCAAGCGAGTTTGCACTGACTAATGGTATGTAGGAAGGCGTTGCTACCGCAAAAGTTCCCAGTAGTATTGAAGTAAGAAGTTGGGGGCGTCTTTTGGTGAATTCAGAAAATAACGCGGTCAGCTTTATTGGGCTGCTTACAGAGGATTGCAAAAAACTTAAAAAGTACAAAAAGAGACGATCTGTGCAGAGAAAGCACAGAGGGGCGAGTGCGAATGCGCTCTTCAACATAATTTTATTGTAATTGCTTCGCATGAAGTGAAACCAGGTGGATGAAACTTCATGTGTTAAGTCATTTTAGTGAAAACTATTGAAATTTAAAACAAATTCCGACTTTTGCAAGCCACTTTTTATACCCTTGCAGAGGGTATTATAATTTTGTCCAAAAGTGTGCAACGCAGTGAAGGAGACATCTCCGACCCTATAAAGTATATATATTCTTGATCAGGATCACCTCCTGAGTTGATATGAGCATGTCCGTCTGTCCGTCTGTCCGTCTGTCTGTCCGTCTGTCTGTCCGTCTGTCTCCGTTTCTACGCGAACTAGTCTCTCAGTTTTTAAGCTATCGTCTTGAAACTTTGCACACACCCTTCTTTCCTTTGCACGCAGTATATAAGTCGGAACGGCCGGGATCGGCCGACTATATCCTATAGCTGCCATATAACTGATTGATCGGAAATGGTATAACTTTGGTGTTTTTTGAGTTAGAGAGTTCAAATTTGACATGAGAGCTATTTTTGGCAAAATATTACGACATGCCAAATTTCATAAGGATCGGCCGACTATATCCTATAGCTGCCATATAACTGAACGATCGGAAATGACCCAACTTTCGTGTTTTTGATGATAGAAAGCTGGCACTTGGTACACATTCTATTTTTGGTCAGTTAATCTGATCTACCAAATTTCATAACGATCGGTTGACTATATCTTATAGCTGACATATAACTGAACGATCGGAAATGGTATTTGGTAGAAATATCAACTTTCGTATTTTTGAAGATAGAAGCTTGCGACTTTTTTTTTAGATTTTGTATTGTAATTAATTGGTTTTATTATGATGCTGCAAGGGTATATCAACTTCGGCTCCGCCCGAAGTTAGCTTCGCTTTCTTGTTTGATATTGAAATTTAAAATGGACGTTCGCAACCGTTTTTTTTTTTTTTAAATTATTATTTAAAAAAAAAATTTTTTTTTTGTTTAACAAGTTTTTAAATTGTGTGACAATAATAATTTAATTTTAATTTTTAACTAAAAAAAAAAATTTGGTGAAACATGTTTTTTTATGAAAATATAAATTTATTTATAAAAACAAAGTGGTAAACAACAAAATATATTTTACTATATGGAAAAATCGTACTATCGCGACCTGTACGTTCGCGACCCGTACGCGACGACGATCCGAAAAGATTGAAAAAAAAGGCCTGAAGACGATTTATTAAAGCATTGTAAGGACCTAGACTTAGCGCTACGTTACGAGAACGAAAAGGACCTGCATTCTAAGCTTTTTTCGGAACTCATAATTTTCCCCCATTTTATTACTGATGAAATGCAAAACGCTATTCAGGTTCTTCGATTTCTCCGTTCTTACGGAAGTAGTTTCCCGAACACTATTATTGGATATCGTATATTATTGACTATTCCCATATCTGTGGCTAGCGGTGAGAGATCGTTCTCAAAACGAAAGTTGGGTCATTTTTGATCGTTAAGTTATATGGCAGCTATAAGATATAGTCGGCCGATCCTTATGAAATTTGGCATGTCGTAATGTTTTGCACAAACATTTTGTTAATGTACAAACGGACAGACGGACATGCTCAGATCAACTCAGGAGGTGATCCTGATCAAGAATATATACTTTATAGGGTCGGAGATGTCTCCTTCACTGCGTTGCACACTTTTGGACAAAATTATAATACCCTTTGCAAGGGTATAAAAAGCTACTGCTCTGCTCTCATTGTTTTTCTCTGCTACTCATACACTTAAATTTTAAACATACATATGTGTTCGTTTTGCCCCCACTGGTTTAAAAGTATCGACTTCCAACTTTGCACACATACCCTACTTTCCTTTGAACGCAGTAAATAAGTCGGAACGCCCGGATTGGGCTCCACCCGAAGTTAACTTTCTAATCGTGTTTTTATACCCTTGCAGAGGGTATTATAATTCTGGTCAAAAGTGTGCAACGCAGTGAAGGAGAGATCTCCCACCCTATAAAGTATATACAGGGTTGCCCATATTCGACGGACCCATGTTTTATTTTAAAAAATCAAAGAAAAAAATAAAAATTTGGCGGTTGGCAATCTTAATCATTTAATTTGTTCCAAGTAGATTTGTTTACATCAATTTTTGAATTTGATATCTTTCAAATGGCCGCCTTTGGCGTTGATCGCGTATTGTGCCCTTCACACACTACATGT